AATTCAATTATCGCAATATTTTTGCAAAGCTTTTGTTTTATATAAACATGAACCTTTAAATGTTTTGAGTTTGCTCCGTGTCGTTTCAAAAAGTTAAGTTTTCAAACAAAAACAAACAGCAAGCTACGGGCTTGAAAAAAAGTTAGGGTACGGCCCTCTTTGGCGAGAAAAAAAAATTAACATGCATGTTTATCGAGACTACACAGATGCTGTCAGAGTCTAAGAAGTCTGTAAGATAAAGTAGGGGAACCTGTTGCACCTTTGACCACGTTGTACTTTTGGTCACTCTACTCTGTCGGCTTACTATTATTATTTAAAAAAAAACGTAAAGGTATTTGAAATAATAGTCCATGACAACTCCTCTTACCGTAAAACATCATACTTGGGAGAGATGGTATTGATCCACAAGTAATTATTCTGATTTTAAAACTGTGATAAATTGTTGTTTGATTCATCTGCGACATTATAAACATTACCGAACATCATTTTTTTGTTATGGAAAAGTTTGGATGGTTATGTCTGACCGCAAATGGGGATTAAGATGATAATTGTTAAAGAAACCCATCTCGTGTACCTTTGACCAGACTAGGACTTTGTACCTGGACCTATCTAACTAAAGAAAATATGTGACTTTATCTAAATAGTTATAATAACTGATTTTATTTAAAAAAATTAGTAATGCTATTAGTAATACTGACTGAGTATCGTAGCTTCGATACACAAGTCTTTGCAAGATTGTAAGGATTGATTTTTCTAATTTTTGTTGACAATTAAGATTGATTACAAAATAATAAGACTTATTTTTTTATTGATATAAGGTAGGCTAGAAGTTGCTAAATAACATATAACAAGCCTATAGTTTATAATTTAAAAAAGAAGAGCATTAAGGAATAAAAGCAGCCGTGGCGCAGTGGTTAGAGTTCTGGCTTAGAACCCAGAGGTCCGAGGTTCGACGCCAGTTCTAGCCCAACAAGCGACATTGGCACGGAAGGAGGCGTGAACTTCCTGTTAAATGCTCTCCCGTGGTGCTCTATAATAAGACCGTTAGGACTTCTGGGAGCACCTAAATACATACAAAAAAAAATAAAATAAAAATAAAAGCAAAAATATTAAAGAGGTTCAAACATTGCATTATTTTTTAATAATAACATTTTGGTCAAAGGAACAACGCGCATTGGTCTTTGCCAAATAGACTTCTATTTTTTAAACGCGGGAAAAAGATACTTCTTGGACAAATGAAAAAAAAATCCTAAGTATAATTTTGGGCAAAATATGAGAAAATATTATATAGTTTGAATGGTTTAAGTTTACTCAAAAAAACGTCTTAAAGCAAAAACGGGTCAAAGGTACAACAGGTTCCCCTAAATCAAACAAACAAACAAGATTTAAAAAAATGGAGTTGTCTGGTTGACTCTGAAAGTAATTTTAACATGTACGCCTCTCACATTTACACAAATGCTGAAAGTTTCAGAACATTAGCTAGTCCGGAGGGTAGTGAAAAATCAATTGCAAGATTCCAAGACAACTGGTAACCGACAAACATCACGTGAAGTCAAACTAACGTTTGAAAAAAAATTACAAGTTTATTCTAAAGAGCACTACTTTAATTGATTAAGATTTAATTTTTTTAATCTTCCTTGTGCGGGTTGGATACCAACACAACAACAAAAAAAAAGATTATTAAGTTGTCCAAAACCTATAGTAACAGTTATCTTGGATAAAACAAACATTCATTCATCAAAGAAAAATTCTATTTCTATTCAAAATGACATCAGTTGTACAACATTCTAAAGATACGCTTCCAATGCTCAATGCAGGAAAAGTCTGGAATAGTAGAAAAAATTTTAATGAATATTCAATTTCAAGAAATATAATATAACAATAGTTATCAGATTTTTAATTTCTAATTAAAGTACTAAAAGAATCTTTTTTAATACAATAAACATATATATATATATATATATATATATATATATATATATATATATATATATATATAATATATATATATATATATATATATATATATATATATATATATATATATATATATATATATATATATATATATATATATATATATATATATATATATATATGCATATTATAAATAAATAATAAAATAATAATAATCATTTTTCTTTGCAAATCATTCAAGTATGCCGTTATTATAATATTCATAGTTTTTGCAATTTTTCATTAAATAATTTTTTGGCTTTCGAAAAGTTATGACAATGTAAAGTTTTCGCTCTCTCAAAAATGTCATCTCATGTGAAAGTTTCCAACCTCTTAAAAATGTCATATCACGTGAAGTTTCCACCCTATCAAAAATGTCGTCTTAAGTGAAGTTTCTTCTCAAAAATAAAATTGCAAATTACTCATAATTTTTGAACATTAAAAGATTATTTGATGAAATTTCAAATCTTTTGATGAATTTCGATTTTTGTGCAAGTTAACCTTTTTCAGCTTATCGTTCTCACGTTTGGGGAAAAGTTGATTACTTTTTAAGAAGGCAGCTTTTGCCTCTTTAAAAAGAAAAGGCACCAAGATTTGATGAGATACCTAGTGACATAGTTATTGCAAACAAACACATTCTTAATAGACCTCTGATACATATTCTAAAGCTCTCGTTAAATTCTAGGATTTTTCCGGATGTACTTAAATAAGCAAAAGTAACTCCATCATACAAATCATACAAATTCTAGAGTTTGTAATGATCATTCTGACATTACAAACTCTAGATTTATATCAATACTTTCTGTATTTTCAAAACTCTTTGAACAGGTAGTTTATAATAGAATCTATTACTTTATTAAAAACAATTTTTTTTACCCAAATCGTTACTTGATTTACTTTTTCAATAATTGCATGCTCAGTTGAAATATTTTTTTGCTAAACTGATTTGGGTAAAAAAAATTGTTTTTAATAAAGTAATCATAGATTTTATTATAAACTACCTGTTCAAAGAGTTTTGAAAATACAGAAAGTATTAATATAGTTCTAGAGTTTGAGTTACTTTTTGTTTGACCCTTAAGTTGACTTTTTAAAAAAACTTTCACCATACTTGCTTAAATATATAGCTTAACTTTGACCTACTTGAGCCCCACTATCATATAAAACTCCCTAGCAACCTCATAGCAACAGTTTTCTACTTGTTTTGGAAGTGGTTTTGGACTCGTCTTTATAATAGCAATTTTGAGATGAAAGTATTAAGTCATCAAGAAAGAATTGTTCTTGTTTTTCCTGGTCTAAACTGCATTGATAGAAGTCACAAACCTTGTTAAACAGTTTTAACACTTTAAAATGATCTATTCTTTTTTATTTCTTGTTTTTTTTTTCATTAATGTTTTTTTAGGGTTTTTAAAATTCAAAACATGATAACTAAAGTAAATTCAAAACATGATAACTAAAGTAAATTCAAAACATGATAACTAAAGTAAATTCATGATAAAAAGAGTACATTTCAAAAAATTTAAAAACGCATGGATCAAACGGTGCATAACAAGCTGTTTTATAACTGTATCGATTTTCAATCCATAATCTGTTCACTAGATCAAGATATTAAACTTTGAAATACAGCCTTTGTTGTTTTTTTTCCCGCCATTATGGGTTTTTAATAATAATAATAAAAATAATTATAACACTTTATTAAAACAAGTTTTATTTAAAAAGATTTTTATTTATATAATATTTCACAGTTTCATTTTTACCCTGGTGTACCAACTTAAGTTAAATACATCATAAAAAGGAACTTTTTGTTCACATAAATATATATTTTTTAATTAGCTATTATAAAATTACAACATGTGAAATAAAAAAATTGATTTTATAGGAGATCGTGCGCCTCGTTTGGTGCAAGTAACAGTAATGTAATTTGTACTGTAATAGTATGATGGAGTATTTGAATCTTATATTAGATTCAGCTGTTGGACTTGTGATTTCAAAAACTAAATTTATTATTTCAGATTTGATATGGACATTTTCAAGCTTAAGAATTTGG